GGACCAGAAGAGACTAGTTGACAGATACAAATTACAGCTAAATAGGAAAAAATTCTAGAGTTTACAACACTGTAGAGTGACTACATGTAATAATTATTCTATTTCAAAATAGTTAGGAGAGAGGATTACAAATGTTCTCAACACAGAAATGTTGAATGTTTGAAGTGATGAATATGCCAATTACCCTGATTTGATCATTACACATTGCACACATGTTTGGGTAGACACATCTGGAATGTACCTTTTGCCTCTTGCTCTTTGTCCAGCCTCTTATTGCCTGGCACACAGTTTTTATTGGAGGTGGAGCATTTGAGACACTGGTAACAAACATGAGAAAGAAAGTCAAAGTCTAAGGAGGTTGAGCATGAAGATAGGTCTCACAGGGCCAGTGATGGCATTTTGGGAAGCTGCTGTATCAGCTCTGCATTGCTTTGGACTTCTTAATGCAAGCAAGGAAAGAATGGGGAAATAGATTCAAAGTGTTAAATGAAAAACAACTTCAACCATGATTACTATACCCAGCAAGATTATTCTTTATATGGGAAGAAAAGATAAAAACATTCTCGAATAAACAAAACCTGAAAGATTTTACCAACTGCAGACCAGTTCTTCAGGAAGTTCTGAAGGGAGTACTATACAAAGAAAACTAAAGATAGACAGACAGAAATAAGAGAACAAAAAACAACCAAAAATATGGCCAACTTAATGGTAGGGACAAGTCTGGAAATAGTGATAATAACGTTGAATGTTATTGGTTTAAATTTCCCCAATCAGGAGACACAGACTGGGTGAATGTATAAAAAAACAGAAACTCTCCATCTGCTGCCTACAAGAAAACCATCCATCTCATGAATAAAAACATACATAGACTATAAGGGAAGAGCTAGGACCAGCAGTTGGTATAAAGACTATGTCACTGGACTCCCATGTAGTTGACTGTGGTTCAAGTCCCGAAACCGGTTGCTTAAACTCACATCAGGCACATGTGCATGCATGCCCAAGATCCTGAGAGGAGAATGGAGGAGAAGGGATTGTGGCATGTCCATCCCCACTCGGGCGATGACTTCTCGGTTTCTGTCTCTCTGCCTCTCTCTGTCTTTCTGGTGAGTGCACGTGCCCTATAGC